AGATAGCACTGCGAGATTTTTTTTTATACTTGGGGGTTCATTGACGTATAAAACAATAAAACTCCTTTAACGTTGTTTGCTAACGTTAGTTGTTAACGTTGTTTAATACATTAGCAGTTCCTGGTAAAAGGCAGATGTTTCCTAAAATGGAAGACAGAAAACCAGAAGAAAATGAATAAGAAAGAAAAAACAAAATGAAAAAAAAAACAGAAAAGCAAAAATAATGAATCATTTAGAGTATTTTGTATACGTCTATGCTATAATTTATTTAGATAATCATGTATTGCGCTATGTACAAGCTACCAAACTGTTCACAGGTCCATCCAACTATTTCGATCTATTTAGGTAACCAAATTAGTGATGATCTAATTTTAAGATTGTTTGGATGTTCAAATCAACTATCTAAGTCAAATTGTTTAGTCATGACAGCTATATCTATCTAAATAATTGTATGCGGGTATTGGTTGAAAAAAAAATTCGTATCATCGTCTCATAAATACGAACATGTGTACCTGTCGTAAAAATACAAGAGTTAAATTTAGCTTTGGCAGGCTTCAGAGAAAAAATACAAAAAGCAATAGAAGGAGGGTTTACATTACAAAATTCTGCTGTTTTGGTTTGTTCTTGTCTCAAGAAACAAAAAATGTAAACCCTTGCAAAGTCCTATAGAACATCAAAAGAACATTCTTGCTGCACTATTTCAAAAATACAAGATATACCTTCTAAAAATTCAAAAAGCAAAAAGCAGATATATCTGTCTACCAAGGACAAAAGTATTGAGACCAATTTTAAAAAAACTTTTTACTTATTTAATAATTTATTTAATATTTTTATTACCGGTATATATGATGCAGAAAATCAATATAGAAAACAAAAACGAAAGTAGAGCTTTTTACTGAATTTGCATACAGTAAAAATAAATGTGTTCCAACTAGAAAAAGATCTTCGCTGACATAATAAATTGGAAGCTAAAAATATTCCTCACAAAAATATGTGATAATGAAATATTTAGTATTGTCAAGTGAAGCAGATTTAAATGCATAAAAACAGTTGTTTAAGTACATAAAGCGATCAAAAGATAAAAATATTAATTTTTACAATATTGGAAATCCTTTATAAAGGAAAATTTCTGTCAAAACAATTTTTTAATTAACTGATAAAAATAAAAGGAAAGTTCGTAGTGGTTGGCTGTACTCCATAGTTTAATAAAAACTTACAAGAAAGTGTGAAACTTCTAGTGTAAATGGTATAATACAATATCAAAAGACTATATTTTTCACAACGTTTTTGTTCTTATGAGATCATCATCAGTGATACCTAAAAGTAATTCCACTTTAATTTATTACAAAGTGTAAAACTTTGACTCTTAATAAGAAACATGTAACATTTGCAAAAACACGCTTACAAGCGGTTTAAAACCATTACTTTACATATAAAATGATACTTCAACCTACAATTAAATGACACAATGGATCAAGGCAAAGATACCAAAACTCAGGAAGTGATATTAAATCTTAAAATGTGATAATGTCAAAAAAAAACATGTCGTTTTAAGATTATGGTTATTAATATTCTTAATTTTTAAGCATTGTTTGAAAATAATGTTGAGATCGAAGATAAAGAGCAAACATTAAATAATTGTTTGTAGAAATCAAAGGTAATAATGACGTTATAGTGAATTTTTTGACAAAAACTTTTTTATTTCATCAATTTTTTTTTTTAATAAAATAGGCTAATTATGACAGATATGGATGACTTTTATATCAAACTAAAGCTAATTTTTTTCTTAATATGCTGATATAAGTTTGTCTGAGAAAAATCGTCGAAAATTAGGGTTTCCAGCGCAAAATATCAAATATAAAATAAAAGACAGCTGGCGCCCAACGCGACTTGTTTTGAAGTATCAGTTCTGTGAAATTTTAAAACAGGAGTCGATATATATATATATATTATATATATATTATATATATCATACAAATTATTACTTGTTAAACCAGTGTCGTTGCGCCCTAAGTATATTTTACTTTATCTTTGATACTTCGAGTTTTTGAACAGCTGACAGCTCTAATTTTTGACCATTCTTTTTAGGCAACCTTATGTCTTCATATTAAAAAAAAATAGCTTTAATTTTATGTAAAAATATGCATGTACATCATGAGCAGCGTATTTTATTTAAAAAATAAATAAACGAAATAAAATATTTGTCAAAAACTAATTATTCTTAATTGAATTAAAATATTTGCGGCCAATTTTTGGGAGATCCTGTACTACGAGAATATACCTACAATAGCAGAATAATAGGAAGTCGGAGATATTTCATTAATAATTTATGTACAATACATATGTCACACACAATACACACACACACGCATATAATACAAGAAAACAAACAATTCAGTCAGAATTTGATATTCCGAAGGCAAAAAGATCACCCACTGAAAACAGATTTCTTCAGTCGTAAGCATTTTGGAAAACATTAACTTCTATCAACAACTTGTTGGCTGCATACAGCTTCGTATAATGTTGAAGATAATCTTTTTTTGAAGAAGTGGAATTCCAAATGTCAAATAAATATTAATTAAAATGTAATTTTCATTACACTCAATTTTGGCTTAATCCCATATAAACATAACATTTAAGTTTCAGTATTAGTTTAATATTGGGACCGTGCAAGTTCGGAACAGCGACACCTGGTGTCGTAAATCAGCAAAATTTACTGCGCTTTTATGTTAGATCGAGGTAACCGGATAACTGTAAAGGACGTGGCCCCAAAAAAGAATAAGAAGAAAAAGTAAGATTGAGGTTATGTCGGTATGTTATTAAAAGGTAAACGTTGATGTAGCGTAAATACAAATAAATATATTATTGAATTACAGCATTACTGTTAATATGGATTCAATAATAAAAACTGGATTTGAGAAAGTAAATCACCAAATAACTTTTCAACCAAGCACTGAGTCAAAGGGAAAAGCTTTAGTAGTGGCAAATGTCAAAAAATAATGGAAGAATTAAGAAAAATAAATTACCATAAATAATGCTAATGCATAAATTAGCAGGTTAAGCCCATGATATCATCATATTGGTTTGAACAATTAATTCTTTCCCTGTAAACTTTTGGACAGCGAATATATCTTAATGCATCTTCAGAAAAACTTGAACTTGATGCATTCTTGTAAACTTCAAAAAAATAAAATTTAAACATTAAACTTGATTTTTGGGTTAAAATGAACTCTAAGTGAGTGTTATGAAACCAAAATTTACACTTAAAAGTGAACTTTTATTTATTATTTATTTCAAACTGACTTTAAAATCGGGCGCAAGAATAATGCATAATTTAGGTTATGTCACTTATGCTTTTTTATGATATAAATCCACTGTTCTCTTTGTAGTAGCTTTGTGCTTCGAAGTTGGAAACGAATAAAACTTAAATTGACAATTTTTTGTTGTATTTTTACAATTTATAACACAGCATTTCCTAAATCCCATTTTCTTCAGAGACAGAAGGTGTAAATGTAAATAAACAAAACGAAAATGAAATATGACAATTGACAATATGAATTTATGAAATCTATGAAATGTACAGTAAAAAATGCAAAATTTCTCCGCTACTCACGCACGATCGTTTCTCGTATCCCCTCCAAGTACTTGCACGTCGCCAATACCAATTTTACCAAGAAGTTTTATACTTTATTACAAGTTTTTAATCCTTTACTTCTTTTAAATTTGTACATACACCACATTTTTTTTTTAAATAAAAGTACTGGCCTCAATAGCTTTGTTTAGCGGGTAAACAGTCAAAAACATAGTGCAACATTATTGTCTCTAGCCTGTAAAAAACATCGTGCAACAATCGCCGTTTACTACGTCTAACCTCCATGTCTTTTCTTTTAACTTGATATTCCAAATCATACTTTTCACCTTCCAACTTGTATAGTCTGTCATGATATGATTGGCATATACTGGTAAGTTGTTCTATACAAAAAATTAAGTTAAAATCGGAACTTTTCGTAGGTGTTATCGTACGTAATTTGTGTAGTATAAAACCAAAAATGAATAATATTATATACTTTACATGTATGGATTGTTATCGCGAATGACTTAAAATTAGTGAGGTTCATTTAACGATACGTAGTACATACTCTGCCAATTGTTATCACTTTGATTGTAAACTTAACAAACTTTCCCAAAGTTATAAACATTGTAAAAATGTTTTTGTTCTGTTGGTGACTTACAAACTAGTTTTAAATAAACCAATATTGTTGCAATGCCAACTTCCTACTATAGTTAAAATGTGAGTGGTATTATAAAAGGATAATTCTTTATAATATATGATAATGACAGGTGTACTTAGACATAATACTTCAAACATCTTTCTTCAAATCAATTTTGTGACAAAAAGAATCATAAATAGAAGTTGAAGTACATGGAGAACAGTCCGAAAGTTTTTTAGCTAATTAGTATAGATGATCCATACTGTCAACAAATAAACAGATCTTTATTGGTGGTAAACGTATGTAGAAAAACAAAGAGAATGACACAATATCATGCAAAAAAGGCCTACGTTATAGAGAGTTATAAAGATGATCTAAAGAAGAAGAAAGCTGGATGTGATGGAATCATTGGATATAATATATCGTGATAAAACAAGATATTGGGAGAGGGATAATCGATAAAAATTACAATTAATAGCTAACAATCCGCAGAATTACAATAAAAATGGAAAATAATATTGACAGGTAATTCAAAAATATTTTTTTACTTATTTTAATAGGTTCTAAATGGGGTTTAGAAGGGTTATGAAGTATATCAAGGGGTTTGAAGTATATAGAATGTAAAAACTACAAGATTCGCGTGTTGCTTTTTAGTAAACCTTGCCTATTTGTGTTTTCTAAAATTTCATAAATACTTCTACAAATAATACATATCTGAAAGTGGAAGTACATAAAGTATAGTATTGTAAAATTTTCCATATCAGTATAGAAGAAAACAAAAATCTTTACCTTCATTTGCATCATCGACAAGTTTGGGTTTACCGCACCTTTCTTCAATGATACGCCTCCTTTCAGCTGCTTTGCGTTCTTGTTCTTTCTTTAATTCTTCAGCGGCTTTCTTTCTCAACAGTAACTAAAAAAGACACGAAAATTAAAACGCCATGCGAAATAAAAATTAATTGAAAATTAATAAGAAATTATCAACTCAAGAAGGCCGCACAATAGTGCGGAAACGAACGTATCGGAAATGGGATGGAGACGATTTGAAAAAGTCTATTAAAACGACAGTGTATTAGATTTTTTTATATAATAATATGCCTGACACCAGGTGTACACAAAAGTGGTAAGTTGGCAGTTACATTACCAAACTACAGGGGAATAAACCTCCTTAATACAGCATATAAAATATTTTCGATCATTTAATATAGACGCCTGAGTGCATATTTAGAGGAGCTTCTTGGGGAATATCAAAGTGGTTTTAGGCCTAGTCGATCAACAACAGACCAGATCTTTGTGCTAAAGCAAATATTGAAAAAAACCAATAAATTCAATATCGACACATACCATCTTTTTGTATATTATAAATCAACCTATGATAGTGTCCTAAGATATAAATTGTATGAAGCCACGGATGAGTTCTACATCCTCGATAAACTGATAAGATTGGTTAAGGCTACAATGCGTAAAGTTGTTTGCAAAGTCGAAATACAGTGCAAACAATCACAGGCATTTAAAACGCATGTTGGCTGCGAGAGGGAAAGCGACTGGGTGTCTCCTTTTCAACATAGCTCTGGAAAAGGCGGTCAGAGATGCCTAAATAGACAACGGAGGAAACATTTTTAATAAATCATCTCAAATTTTGGCTTATGCAGATGATGTTGACCTAGTTGCCCACACAACACGAAAACTAGAAGAAATGTATACCACCTTGTCAAATTCCTCACAAAATATGGGCCTGCAACTAAATGAGGAGAAAACTAAGATAATGGCATCAACACCCAGTAATAGAGCCAGAAATGCACAAATGTGGATATGTGGAAAAAAAGTGGACAAATGTGGAAAAAAGTGGACAAATGCACATACCTAGGCTCCCTGATCACCAAGAAGAACGTCATGACGGAAGAAATCAAGCGAAGAATAATTCTAGCAAACAAATGCTATTTTGGAATGTGTAGATATATGAGAAGCAGAAACTTAAACCAAAAAACAAAAATAACCATATACAAAACTCTTATACAACCAGTGTTGACATGTGGATGCGGAAATCGTTCTCGATTTCCAAAGAACGTTTTTTTTTCGGAGAACGATTTCCGAAGTGGAAATTGAAACGTCAATACACGTATTTTAACCTTTAATTGTGGCTTATTCCCAGTTAAATAGTAATTAAGAAATGTGATATTTTAAATATCACAAGATAATTGAAGTAAACCAATGAAAGGTAAGATAAATCATCGGAAAATTGAGTAACTGGGGAAGAAACTACAATAGAGGGTTTAATAATATCATCAATATATTGTTTTGAATATTTAGAATGTAGAAAAAGACATTCCGCAGAGATACAGCAGTGCACCTTTACATAAAAGTTTCAATATAGACGAATAAGCAAATACTTTGGACACAGTCATTTACTATTTGTACGACAGTTCATCAACATCAATAATATTTCAAAAACAAAGTACTTTTCCCAATCTAAAATGGTGTTGTATTTACCATTTATTTTAAAACCAACAATCAAATTCACCATAGATTATAAATAGATACTCACCCTAAGTTTCTTCTTTCTCTCAGGGGTCATGAAACCTTTCTTGGCCTTCTTGGCTTTTGAGGCCTCTTCCATACGAGCCCTGACCTCGGCCCTTTTGCGTTCAATTTCGGCCTGTTTTCTCTTCTTTTCCTATTTAGGTATTTAAACAGTTCGATCAATAAATGCATTTTGGGGGTAAATATTTAAAATAGAAAACAGAACACAATTCAGATCTGCTGATTAAAAGACAAATTAAATTTTCAGTTCTCAAAGAACAATATTTACAAGACTGTGAACGATAAGTTTATTTATTAGCAATAGTGAATTTTATATTAATTGTTGACTTTTTTTATAAATAAAAAAATGGCGGATAAAACTAATAATATCGGAAATTATAACTTTCGATATTATTAGTAGTCGATTATTGTGCATATTGATAATCGTCACAAAACCCGTATCTTATTTCGATCGAGACAATAATAGTTTCCTAATTACTGTGCCTTCTTTACTATTTCTTATTATTTTGTCAGTAAGACCTACTTGTATACAGCTATATACGTTATTCTATAAATATCAATAGTGAACTTAAATATAAGAAAATGCTCTAAAAGTTCTAGTTCTGTTTTCTATTTTTCTCTTTGTTGTTTACGTGCCTCCTCCAGTTTCTTTCTCTGAAAAATAAAACAAAACGAGAATTAGTAACGATGCAGGTACTTAGACAAAGTTGTGATAGTATTAACATTGAGGTAAACATGATACATTTGTGATAGTTCTTAATTAATATGACACAAGTTAATTATACTTTTCTAACTCATAATTTAAATATTTGTGTTACGCGCTAATTAAAAAGTTTGTATTATTTAAAACTATTTCAAAAGATTAAAGACTAAAGAAGAGTTAATTCGAAAAGCAAATAAGTTCAAAGTTATAACATCAAAACCGAATGAGTGTTTAAAATAAACGTAATAAAGAAAAATAACAAAATAAAAATAATTCATGTAGAATAAGACATATGTTAAAAAAAGAATAAAAATGGTAAGCAATAAAAATATTCCAAAATTTGTGATGGATTCGACTGTTACTTGATGGCAGTTTAGGCAGAGTGAATTTCTCAATTCATCTATTTCTGGTATACGTTTACACATTATAGTCTTCAACTGAATAAGTAAAGGAGGGGAGAAGTGTTTGTCTCAAGTTGGTCATTCAGAATTATGTCTGTATTTGTTTTTAATTTCCACAGATTATAATAAATATAGCTAAGGGCTTTATTTTGAATGTGAAGAATTTGAAATAGGACAATGAAATAATAATTATGGCCCAGAAGGTGAAATGCGTACGCAGAATCTGTTTTTCAATTATTGAAAGCCTTTTTGTTATTTGCTGTACGTTTGATAAAATTTCTACCTGTTTGACTAATGTAAGTTTTTGAGCAGTCGCCACATTTAGCTTGTATACACCACTGTGTAAGTGCGTTTTCTTTTGGGTCTTGTAAATTGTTGTTTGCTTTGAAAGCTGGTGTTATTTATTTCTTTTATGTGTTTGGCTAGTTTTGTTGATATCTTGCCTCTATATGTAAAACCCAGTACCTTCTGGTCGCTAACATATACAGGCAAGAGATCATTAAAACTAGCTAAACATAAAAAAGAAAGGAATACCACCAGCTTTCAGAACAAACAACAACTTAGGCCAATATATTAAGAACAACAAAAGCCAAAAAAGCACTTAGTCAGTGGTGTATACAAACTTAAATGTAGCGACTGTCCTAAAACTTACATCATAAACTGGTAGACATTTTAACAAACGTATAACAGAACACAAAAGGTGTTTCAATAATAGAAAAACAGATTCTACGTACGCACTTTACCTTCTAGACCATAATCATTCGTTTTATAACCAATTTCAAATTCTTCACATTCAAACTAAAGAACTTAGGATATCTTTATTAGAATCTATGAAAATTAACAAAGTAAAAAATACAGACATATTTCTGAATGTCCAACTTGAGACAAACAGTTCTCCTCTCCTAAACGTATTCAGTTGAAGACTATAAAGTGTAAACGCATACTCAAAATTGCTCACTTGAGAAAGACGCTCTGCCGAAACAGTTGTAGTGATAATAAATTAAAATAAATTTTATGGGAGTGTTAAAAGAAGTTTTTAGTGATTTAGTGTTAGATTCCAAAAGAGATAAAATCGGTAATAAAGAATTTATAGCAGTACACGAAAACTTTGAAGGAGTTTACCAGCAGAAGTAGTAGTAGTATATACATACATTAGTACATATGGAATTAGCCATATAACCAATTATTATGGGAAGCTCGCTCCTTTTCGAAGGTATCTTTTAAAGTGAAAATTATAATTAACTATTTTTTTTATATTTCCGTTTAGATGATATTTTTAATATGTAAATACAAATGTAATATTTTTATCAAAACGACTTAAATAAAACGAAACAAATAAAAGTTAAAAAACAAGTGAACTAATGATTTTTGGGTGTTATTCTTTCTATACTACAATCTACAGCTACGGACTAACAACAAACCAAATGCACATTTATAAATGGTACAGATATTACAAAGCAAATACGGAAACTCTTGTTAGCACATACCAAATCTACTTACACTAAAATACTTTATAACATTCTAAGTATAAATAATACTACAGCCCCTTTCTGTAAGATGCTTTTACAGCAAAAACTGAGGCAAAAGACAGCTCAAGAAGCGTTTCTAACTATAGTAGAAATATATGTTTTTTATATTTATAATTTAAGCGCTTTCTATTTATCTACTTGTCTTTTAAGTAGATTCCTTAAAGATAAACTACAAGTTCAAATTAATTGTTATAGTTTTGTTTAGCCATGCAATGGATAATTACCTTTTAAACTCGAGAAAGGCGACTGCACATGATGTAATACTGCAAGAATAAAAGAAGCACATTAAAAAAAATTATAAAGATTTAAGCAGTTTGATTATATAAAAATATATTTTCTAGTAATCAGTGTTATATATGATTTGTTTTATATTTATGGTCTCTTTAAACTCAAATAAAAACGCAACTGAGGTACTGGACGTATTTTCAAAATGATAGCTTATATACAATACAATGTTGTAAAAAAACAAACCATTAAGCCCAAAATAATTAAACGTAAAACAGATTTCTTTATTGTTGTTCTCTTTTGCTACTCTTGATAGCCTTTTTGAAAATCGATAAAGAAAAAAATGTCACACAGAATTGTAAACGAAAATGTTTAACCTTAAATAAGTACACATTATGAACCAAAAGTACCCAATATTAGCGGAAATGTAAAGTTTATTGTACTAAAAAGTATGGAAGCATGAAATCTAAAGGGATGTATTTAGTCTTTCCCATACTTTTCCGTGGGATGGAGAAATAGAAAAAGATTGGAAGAGAAAATCCTATAAAAAATCTTCGAAGGAATAAAGTTAGTAGAAGAAGAATGGAGAAGACGTGCTAATCAGGAAATATATAAATTAAATTATTAAATGGTACATGTTTTACATATATCAAAGGAAAGAACTGCCTAAATAATATTACAGTTTGAAAAAAGAAAAGAGAAGAAAGTAAGAAGGCGAGGAGAGATATGGATGAGCCTAGTCCAGAAGAACATCGAATATAATGATACTAGAAGAGTCGTTCGCTGTCTATTATATATATATATATATATATATATATATATTATATATATATATATATATATATATATATATATATATAACTTGTTTTGGATGCTTGGAGTCAATAAAAGAATAAATTTTGATAAAGTTCTTAACAGAAACCATTGAATTTGTAAACAAAATTGAATAGCTACAAATCAGCCTCAATGTCATAAATACCAACTTAAAAATTTTTATTTTTGGTATATTGTCAAAAATAAAATTTTGTTTAAAAATTTCTTTTTTGTTTAGTAACAAAAAAGAAGAAGATTTATTCACCATTGATAGATGCCTGAAAAAATGTAACAAATACATGGAAAATTCAAAATGTGATATTTTACTGATTGCATATATAAATTAATATATATATATATATATATATATATATATATATATATATATATATATATATATATATAACATTAAACGTTATATTTATTTACGTTGTACACCACATAAAATGGAAAGATTAATGCTTGGAAAAATCATAGAAATATACTAAGAAACGAGGAAGTTCATAGGCAAACCGGAGTGAAAGACAAACGAAGAGATGGACGGGACATGTTGTAAGAATTAAGCGAAGACAACGGACAGAAAAAAGAAACCGGGGAAGATCCGCAACGCGATGCACCGATGACCACAAAATAATTGTGACCAATTGGATATCAGAAACGCAGAACAGGAATATATAAAAATATCTAAACGAGGCCTATGTTTAACAATGGACAAATTAGGGTTGATTAATAATGAATGATGAATATACTATTGCAATGAAAAGGTTTATATTAAAGTTTTACGAAAAACTAAAACAAATCTCCTAACTTCGAAAAACAAATGAAAAATTTAGTGAAAAACAAAAATGATGGACTCTGATACCGCATAAATCCTTCGAGCATAACCTTGCATTGCATTCGCATAAATCGATTATCTCGTTCTAGATATAACTTCTGGAATATTTTGCACCTATAAATCTAAATTTATCAACTGCACATGCATGAGGGATAGTTCTGTGACTGCTTCTATCAAATTCGTGCCCAGAATATTTTTGATCCACCAAATAATTTCATTAAAGGATAATGCAAATCGCAATACCTTCCTCTAACTTTTGCCTTACTTTATTATGACCATCTGAATATTTTAGATTTACTTTTTTTGTTAAATCGATAAATAAAACTCTCGTTATGTCCGTCCATTGACGAATCTGAATTTGTATTATATGGTCTTTTACTATCTAACTCATATTGTTTTAGTTTTCTTTAACTGTTACATTAGAAATTATGACATTTGCGACAAATGCGTGATGGCTAGTTAGCTCTTTATTGTAAAATTTTCGATTTATTAATACCTGTTGTCGGAGAAAGAGCTCAAGCATTTGACTTACGAATTCTTAACGCACTAACTACGTTTTCAGACGTGTGAGAAATATATATTAAAAAGATATTTTAAAAATCATCAATGAATGTATAAGCCATATATTGCAAACATAAATACAATCAAACATACATGCAAATTTTCTAAGTAAAAGATGCGCCAGATTTTGGAAACAACAATACAATTCACTCCCGTTCTTCTAATATTTCTTCACTGACCCACATGTGTGTCCTAGATTTCTTTAAATTTTTGGTATCTGATTGCAATGTCATATTTCTGTTCTTCGCGTATGGTCCTTATTGGTGTTTAATTTAGCTGTGTGACACTTTTAGTTGTTTTTAGTGTTTGTTTAGGATCTCACGGAAATCTAAAATCAATCCTTGAGAAATTTTGATATTCTACGTCCTTTTTGGTTGTTATATCGATAACATCCTAATTACTACATAAGGTAACTTTATATTAAAACGAACGAAGACATAATATAATATGTAGAAAGACGCAGCAAAATGAAATACCGAAAGGTTGCCTAGGATAACCAAATAAACCGGAACATATTACCGGTAGAAATTTCCTCATTTTGGACGAATTTGAGATTAAAAATCAAATGTAGGACAATTAAAAAAAAATTCTTTCAGATAAATATATCAACAGTTTTTAAAAATGGTAAAATTCTCTCTATGATGACTAAAATGCTGTAGTACATTGTTTAAACATTTACAAACTATTTTCCGATTATATACAAAATATTTTGAATACATACCTAACCTCATCGTCCGCCATGTTGGAAGTTTTTTAGTTGGTCTGAAAAACGTACAAAATTGAATTAGTAGAATTACTGAATAAAAATGCAAATAAAATAATAGAATTAAATCAAAAAAAGAGCACGACTCTGGATTACTGGTCTATTTTTATACAATGGCGTGCGAGTATCATTTAAGTTAAAAATAGCAAGTTTTGGCCCAAATCCAAAATAGCTGTACTCTGTTTTCCCATCGCCGAATTTGGTTTCTCGTATGTTAGATGTTTACTATCGAATTACTTAATAATTCTTAAAAAAATTGTATTGTATAATATAATAAAACTTTAATTATTTCTTGATTAACAGATAATATATTTAAAACTTTAAAATTGATCTAACACCTTCAGTTTTTTATAAAATATCTTACAATTTTATTATTCCTATTATTAAATAGGTATTTCTTCTTGTTATATTTTTACTAAAGGTCTGTTCACTTTCCTAAAAATCCTTATATTTTCAGAATTACTTAAGCGAAACTATTAACAAATATTTTTACTTTTTAGTTTTTCTGTCTGTAATTTTGATTATTATAAAGAGTACCATTAAAATTTTAATTTGTTTCTGAATTATTTAAAAAAATTGTATACTTTTAGAGTATTTTGTTTGAATATATTTTATTATTGAGTCATTTTATTAGGTTATACAGATTATATATTCTTCCGGTAAAACTTTTAATTTTCTCAACTTGTTCCTCGAAAATCTAACATTTATCAATCACCTTCTTTTTAATGTAGTTACCCTAATTTATTTTCCAATATAATAGTTCCTTCAGAAATTAGACCATTGTAATATCTAAATCTATGGAGTGAGTTTATAAAAGATTTTTAACAATTCATATTTGAAAGAGTTCTTGTTGATATTGAAAAAAAAAGAGGACAGAATATGATAAGGATTGGAATAAACTATATTCATATTTGAAAGAGTTCTTGTTGATATTGAAAAAAAAGAGGACAGAATATGATAAGGATCGGAATAAACTATAACGGCAATCTATACAGTGATGTACCAACAAATGGAGTCTACGTGTTCCAGTGAATATGCAAGAAAAGTGAAAAGGGCTTATCTCTATGTTAAATGTATAAGAGCCAAAATTTATTGGAATTTTAGCCTTGAAATTAACGTCATAATATTAGAAAAAAAAAAAGAAATCAAAACAAAATTGGAATATAATGGAATACCTACCTGTTCAAAGTAACTCCCGAAACCAAAATTCCCGTTTTGTTTTCTATACCTTTGTCATCAACAGTAATGTTGAACGAAATACCAAAAACCGAATCAGAGTTGTATAAAATAGAATAGAATAGCAGAAATTGTATTAATGAAGAACAAGGCTTTTAGAATATTAATATAACATATCTTAAGTTATAATATATAATATATAAAAACGTAAAATATCAAGAAAAGAGGATCAGAAGAGGCCTCATATATTGGTTCTTAAGTTTATACATACATATTATCTTACGTGTAAAATAACTACTTCAATTTTTTGTAATAAAACACAAAACGAAAATTTTATATTGCATATTGGGAAATTCAGTAAAAAATAAAAGAAGTGTTTCTTCTTATTCAAGTGCTGTTGTCACAATTGAAGATTACCAATTACCCTGAAAAACGTCTTCTACTTCCTGTAAGCTTTTAAAAGTGTAGAATAGATCACTATCTGTATTTTTTGTAATTGTAGAATTTACATTAAAGCTATTTTATTTCATTTTTTGTTATGAATATTCAGATGTATTATTTTCGTATCTCATGTCCCAGGTAACTTGTTTTTTGTGTTTTATATAGGTGATAGATAAAGCCAGATCTCAAAGGCTTCTAGTTTATTTAAGCTCATAGTATTTAGCGTTCATGTCTTTATTTCATAAAGCAATATTGACTGTATGTATATGCATATATGTACTTTACCTAAGGTAACTGTTGATGTAAATAAGGTGATAAATGTAAATAAGAAAGACAATTGACTAAAAATGCCCCAATCGTCGTGACTATTGTTTAAAAAATATGAATCTTGGTGTCATTAACAAGCATCTAGGCAAATCTTCAAAGATAGAAATAAAAAGCATAAATACACGAGAGGTAATTTAAATGTATTATAAATGTAAACGAATTTTATAAGCCTCCTACGCTATTCTAAAAAAAGTTTAAAATTCCGGCATTGCTTCACATCTTAGCTAAGATTTAAAAGTGGGCATGGTTATTCGATTACAAAAATAGTTGTCTATTTTTAGAAGTTTCTAAAATAAGGTGGCTACACCTACTAAAGGGTAGCCATCTTTACTATACTAATCAAATAGTTAAAAGAAAACGAAGAAAGAACTATAAAAAGAAAAAATCACCGTAATAAACTCTACAGTTGCATAAATAAACAAAAATTAAATAAATCTACGCATTAATGTTGACATTAAAAAGATGTAATTTGGAGAAAATCCAAACAATTAAATTATTTAAGGATGCTCTGAAATACCTAATACTTTATTCAAATTAAATTATTTGTTGTGCCCAATAGTCTATGAAGTGAATATTTATATATGGCCATTAATAAAGTTAAAACTAGAGCTCTAATTGTTATTGACGTTTAGGTTTTTATGTAACTCATTGGTGATCCGTAAAGTGTACACTATATATTAGAGTTTTCTTACAGACTCCTTTCCTCGGGTAATGGATTCTACACAAAAATTAGCACTTTAAATGTTCACTCTAGTAATCACAACACCGTAATCCACTAAATGCTTAACATAGCAAAATAATAAATTGAAAAATACCTGGTCTCAACGATGGAATATGTGAGCAGTCAACAAGGACTCAGTGCTGACTGTTGCAAATTTTTCTCTCAGATACTGAGAGTTCCCTTCCCTGCTTCCCCTACCTCGCCGAGGAAATTTGTATCCAGCTTTTTGCTGTCGTCTATTTTTGAGAGTGCCTGACGCCAAAATTAGAATTTTCAGAAACTCGATATCCCGTCAGTAATGATCGAACTCTGTAGGTTGATGTGTAGACGGGACGAAAGCAACAAATTTATTGTTTTCCATGGAATTATGTCTTAAAAAATTTCCGTTTGCTTATAGAATCTGCTCTGGTTATTTTCCTTACGATATTGCAGTACAACTATACCACGCTTGGGTTAAAAATATAAGATACGTTTTTAAAAGACGCAATCTTAATTAGAAAATAGATAAACAAAAGGTATTTTTAGATGTGGATGTATACATACTGACTAATTTAATGAATGGAGTTAACCACTCACTTCTGTTTAAGCGTAATTGTTTGTCTAGAAAGAAATTTTACCAGATTAACAAAAATAAATAGTTCTATATTTTGTACAGTCATATTCCCTTGCGATGCTGGATTCCCATCTTTTCCTGTTGTGGATTGCTTTATACAACCTTTGGAAAGTTTATACCTAGTAGTTTTTTTTATTGTGTTTCGGCATCAAGCTACTCCAACTTTTTGAGGGGCGTTTTATACTTCCTCTTCCTTTTGGTTTGCAGTTCAGTATGTATTTAGCTAGTTGATTTTCATTGATTTTGTTATGTATTCTTCTATTTTTTTAATAATAGGGTAGGCCGGTAGGGATTAGTAGGCCTGTTTTTTTGAAAAATGTATTTTCTTCTTCTGTAATGGTTTCTGTATTACGTTTTAATCAATTATAACTAATTTTTAAGCATTGCTATAACTTGTGTCGTTTGCACGATTCAGTTATTTAAGAGTCGCGCCAACATTAATTTATACGATGTAGAAGTATTAAAATCCTCGTCTGGTAGGCGTATGACCTTGTCGCTAGTAAGAGGGCTTAAGAGAACTCCTATATCTTAGTTGGAAGGCTAGGGGGTAGGACTCTCGACCAAGAAACGGCTCGAACCGAAGTTACTACGGCGAGGGCATGAACTATACTAAGGGTAACAGTATCACAATGGTACCCTTGTATATCTTTATACTATTATGTACACTTTTTCTTGTATGTCTGATTCTACAGGAGCCGACAACTCTTTTCGTCGGAATTAAATGTACACGAAACAACAAAAAAGAAACCAAGATAATACAAAGTCAGAGACCACTGACTCAGACTCTTCATTAACACAAAGCAGAAGAGAATCAGTAACCACTAATCCTCAGCTTCAATACTCTGTCAATACTCATTGACCCTACGGTAAACCAGAGGCAAAGGAAAGTTGGGTCTCTGCACTATTGTCTGAGGAGATTGGAAAAATCGAAATCAAGATAAAAAGGATTTTTGGGGCTCAGACAAGAAAGTTGACCAAGGAGAAGAAAATTTCAGAAGGAACTGGTAAGGATAAAAATCACCACAAGAAGACCAAGACTACTGAGAAAAAAGATATGTTTAAGGAACAAGAGGAGAGCTGGAGTATTAAGGAAAAAAGATCCCGATCTGAGTCACAGACTCCTAAAAATACAAGAATGAAGTCAAGAAGCATAAAGCCAATTCGAAGGCATGAGCTACAGCGAGAAAGCGAAGGGCATTAGGATAATACACAAACGTCGTCCCGATTCTACATTGAGCGAAGAACAGGCTTACTTGGTACAAAGCAAGTTGCTCGAAGCACTTTATGCTGCTTCTTCGGGCAATGGCAGTGCTCGTTAATTTAAAACATCCTTACACACAAGAATACTATTACAAATTACATTGATCTGCTCACAAAAAACTGGCTCAGGGAGGCGATTGGAGGGCTGGGTACTGTATGGGAAGGAGCGAGTTTGAGAGTGTTCTAAGTCAAGGACCTCCCGGAGAGAACCAGAGTCCTAGTATTTACCCCTGTGAAAAAATCTATAGATGTGTAGGTATATAGGACGCGCTTTTAGCATCTAAATTAGTGGCTGAGACACAAAACATGGTCCATGTTAAACAAGAAAAGCAAGAAAAAAGAGAAGCCAGCTTCTGGCTCTCTCTATACATGAAGAATCCTGCAGAAATCTAAAGGAGAAAAACTACAAAGTTTACTCTGGACTTATTAGACTTCAGAGATCTGCAAGTCAAAAAAAGATAGTTATAAGGGTAGTTCAGATTAACATCCAACACTGCAAGGTAGCTTCAGCAGTCATTGCAGTTCTTGGAAGGACGTTTGATATTGCTTTGGTACAAAAGCCTTGGATAAAATAAAGGAACGCTAAAGGTTTAAAGTTAAATGTTCCAATGATCTAAAGAAGACCGAGGAGTCCGAGGTTCCTCGGACCTGTGTGATTGCCAGAAAGGGGATAGAAGTACTGCCGTTAATGGTGAGAGATTATTCTGGGCTCGGCCTATTTTCTTTTGAGCTATCCAGCAGCGACACCCAGTGATGAAGTAAGGAGTTGGTGAGTTACTGCAGAAGTACAGGGACGTATCTGATTATTTTTCTGTGACCAACGCAACCACAGGACTTGCGAAAGCAGAAACACCAACAAAAGAGGTAAGTCATTAACGCAATTTAAGCCAAGAAACCAAGAGGAGACCCTGGTATATTTAGGATACACCAAGCAAACGACCTGTACAACATAATACAGGGTACAACAATTCTTGACTGGGTGTAAGAAACAACAACGGAAAGCTGACACAATAAGCTTCAACTTCAGTGATACCGGAGATCTTTTAAATCAGCCGGGCCCAGGAAGGAAAAAAAAAGTGGTACAGTTGGCTATACTGTAGACTAGCACAAAGCTTTATACTATGTTTTCTGTATTTTTAAAATTTAAATAATATTTTTAAAATTGAATAAAGTAATTTTTGTTCAATTAACCGTAGAGACTTTGTCTCAGGACTAGCAACCTCAGTGGAATCTTACATTGCCAGGTTATCAATTCCAATTATCAAACATTTAAGTATATAAGATCAAATAATGTAACTTAAATTCAATTAACAACAAATAAGTCTTACTCACAATCAATTTAATTTAACTATCCAGACGACCGGTTTCGCTTTCTACAATATGCAAAGCATCTTCAGGTCTCTATACAAAGTTAAATAAATGATGCCGGTACTCTATTAATTTATGGATGGTAGAACATGGTTGAAACTATCATGTATTATTGAATGGAGAGCTTAAGTCTGCTATTGTAGTTGTTTGACAATAAACGGGAAGTTCTTGAGGAGATAGATTTGATCTGATGAAGTAGAGATTAATGTGATTGTTTGTTAGATGAAAGTGATGTTCTATACCATTGTATTATTTAAAAGTTATTTATACTTATTCAAGAGATATATTTATGAAATGTGTGTTATTTATTGAGTTTTTATTTTATGAAGGTGACAGTTTTATGACAATGAATAAGATTAGATGTACAAATTGTGTGGGTGTGCAATTCTTTCAACTTGTAATTATCAAATTTCTTTGATAAAGTTCTATTGACAAAATGGTAAGTTATTGCAAAGTACAAAAACAATCAATCAATAAATCAATCATAAGATGATGAAGCTTATCAATGAAGAAAATCTTCAGACGTTAACAATATTATTTAACAAAATATATACCACTGGAATCTTCCCAGAAGACTGGCTTAGATCGACATTTATACCTATACCCAAGAAAAATAAAGCAAATAGATATCTCATCATAGCAGTTTCAGATTAATTAGCCTAATGAGCCATTTTCTGAAAATTTTACTCAAAATTGTATATCAACGAATATACAGAGATTGTGAAAGAAACCTGAGCGACAATCAATTTGGATTTCATATGGGGCTTGGTACAAGGAGGCATATTGCCCAGTATACTACAAAATGCCGAATCAGCGAAAAGACGCGTTTCTCTGTTTTATCGACTACGAAAAAGCTTTGATCGAGTAAAACACACAGAACTCATAGAAACCCCAACACAACATGGTATAGACCATAACACTGTAGCACTTATTAAAAAACTATATTGGGATCAAATAGCGTCTATCAAAATAGACAATCGTCTGACAGCAGAATTGCCAATAAAAAGAGGAGTTCGTCAGGGCTGTGTACTTTCTCCACTGTTATTTAATATATATTCCGAAAAGATCTTTCAAAATGCCCTCGAAAATATTGAAGAAGGAATAAAAATCAACGGAGAATACGTAAACAACTTAAGATACGCAGACGACACCGTCATTATTGCGGACAGTGCTGAGGGTATACAACGACTTTTGAATGTCTTAACCAGAGAGGGAGGTAACTTGGGACTAAATATAAACACAAATAAAACAAAAGTAATGGCTGTTACACGTGCACCAAATGTCGACATTAATATTCGTATCTATAACAAACATATAGAACCAGTACAAAGATTCCAGTATCTTGGTTGCTAGATAACAAACGATCTTGACCACGAGGTCGAAATACGTGCTCGTATAGAATATGCTAGGTCCGCATTTCAACGAATGAAAAAATTCCTAATAAACTCTACGTTATCGTTGGATATCCGATACCAATTTGTAAAAACGTTTATTTATTCCATATTGCTATACGGAGTGGAAACATGGACTCTCGGAATTACAAGTATGAGGCGTATAAAAGCCTTTGAGATGTGGGTTTTTCGAAGGATGCTGAAGATCTCTTGGACAGAGCACGTGACCAACAACGAGGTGCTAAGAAGAATGAGGTACTGAGAAAGAACTCCTAAATATTGCAAAAAACAGAAAAACGAGTTATCTAGGACATATTTACAGAGGAGAAAAATACAACTTCCTACGACTTATAATGGAAGGGAAAGTGGAAGGAAGAAGAGGTCCAGGAAGAAGAAAATGCTCCTGGTTGAAGAATGTAAGAGACTGGACAGGTATGGACACACATTCGATACTAAGAACAGCTCAAGATAGAGAGCAATTTGCTGTAGTTATAGCCAACCTTCAGTAATGGAG